TGACAAATTGTGGGACTTCCCAATTAATTAGCCAGCCATTTTTCGAAAAAAGACAAAAAGAAAGAAAAATTGCAAGTCAAAATTATGTTGCTGACTTTTTGCGACATGTCCTCTGTGTGCACTACACACTGAAAAAAATTTAATCTATACAGGTGACTCTTCCTTAAACAAGTATCGTTACAACATTAAAATAGCAATGGCGTGCACGTGGCATCCTGGCTGAAGATAAACAGAGATACATGGGCTCGTGTAGATATGGAATTTCTCTTCAAGTGTTCAATGTCGAGTTGAACATTCGAAGAGAAATTCTATATCTACAAGCAACCATGTATTATTTTGTTTATTATGTAAACACTGATAGCCCTTCACTGACAAGAAAACTCGTCTTAATTAATGAATGAAAATATCAACAATCCCGGCTAATGAGAATAGTGGAGTGTGTTGGCGCTTAGGCTCAAGATGAAAAAATGTGTTAAAACACAACGATGGGCGTAATTTTTGATATACAAAATTCTAAGTTATTGACTTTGTCTGAAAGAAATCTTTCAGGTACATAGTCAAAATCGGCCTGTGGCAAATCTCCCAATTGTCGATTTTCGTTCTCAGCCGCGAGAAATGCTATCACCAAAGTCCCTGATTACGTAACTTTCAGTTTTTCTTTTCGTATTTGGGTTTTCTTCACCTTCAAGGAAAGTTTGAACGTCACTGTCCGTAATCGATAGGGATCTTTGTAGTAACGCTAAGAGAAAATTCCGACAAGCGACCATCGACTGAGTCAACCTAGCCGAGTGACGCGAAAGGTGTGTGACGTATCAGTAGCTGATTGGCGATATCAAACGTACGTAAAAATTATATCTTATTTTTCACGTGTGTTGTTACGGCTTTTCTCACTGGCTGGAGATCCTTGTAACACACCACAGTATAAATGGTAAAACCTTTTTTCCACTTGGACACGTGCCGTCAAGACCTCACGCATTTCATGATGAGTGCATACCAATTAGATGTTTCCCAGGACAATCAGAGGATTGGTAGCTATGGGCGGCCGTCACCACCAAAAGGATATTAAATAGATCAGCAAATACAAAGCTGGTCTAAGAGGATGGCAAAGGGTTTTTGCGTGACGCGCGATGGCCCCAAAATTTGCTGGGTGACGCGTGATTGTACCCAAATTATCAGCGTGATGCGGACCGGACATCACAACATGAGGCGTGATTTGCTATTTTTACAAGCGCGTGACGCGTGATTTACAAGACTTACTAATCAGATTTCCGTGATAAGTGAACGATCTTTGATCTAGAAGGGTACCAGACATTCAAAGTAAATAGAGTCTTAACAAAAATCAATAAACCAGGGCAGCTGTGACACTGTCCTTTGGTCTTTTCCGTACTTTGCTAAACTTTGCTTGACCTTGGATGTCCTTGATTTTCGTGGTAGGTCCAAACAATCGTGACACAATAGGCATAAGTTAATAAAGTTAAAATTTGCACAAGGACTATGACCTTCTGTGGTTGTATTGTCGATCTCGTGGTCGTGGTAGTGCGTGGGATCCAGAAGACTAGGAAGTCCACGGGTCGGTCCACGAATTCTACAGCTTGAAAGATAGCCAAATTAACAAAGTTCATACTAGTTCTCACGAGATAACCATTAAGCCATATAAGAGTTCAAACTACGAAAACATTGACAAAACTACGACTACTGACTCCTTGAACAACGAACTATGATGACTATGATGCCCAGACGACACCTCAGACGTTGGAAAAAACCAAGACTCTTCGTTTTTATTGTGTTCGATACTTGTAAAGTACGATTTGATATTCCGATACGAAGCCCGAGTAAACGCTCTCGGAGCGTCTAGTTTCAACAAGTAAGTCGTCTTTATTTGTCTAACAAAAAAGAAGTATGCCATGTGAAACGCAATTCATTCCAGAAGGAAAACGTTGGATGGAATATAATTTCTAACAATACATGCTGAAATCTTACGGTATTAGCTGAGCGTACTTACTCCTTTTTTACGTGATGCGTGATTTAATAGAAAAATTCTGAGTGATGTGTGATTGGAACCCCCCCCCCCCCCCCCCCCCCCCCCCCCCCCCCCCCCCCCCCCCCCCCCCCCCCCCCCCCCCCCCCCTTTGCCACCCTCGTCTAAGGATCAGCTGCAGGATAGCATAGCTAATAAAGGAATGTCATGGCCAAATTGTAGACGGTTTAGTTTTCCTTGATGAACACCCTAAACATGAAAAGTTAGCCAAATGATAAACGGTCTAGTTGCCTATGTCGAGTGAGAACATGAAATTGTGAAATGGACTAGCTCAATTACGAATATCCTAGCACTCATTTGCGACACAGTACACAAACGGTGTAGCGTTGCGTGAAATGGCTCAGTGTAATGTCGAATCGTACAGCGTATAAACAAATGGTGTAGCATTACGTTGAATGGTTTTGTAGAACATCAGACGCTCTTGCTGAACATTAAATTGCTTAGCATTACACGAAATATTTCGATGTTGTGGCGAATCGTCGAGCTTGCTTGTGGCGTGACGTGAAGGCTATCTCGCCGAAACCACCAAAAGTACAAACCGCAAATGGAAAAGCGATCTGCTGGGGGTATGACGTCTTCGAATGTAAAGGTTGGCGCGAAACCATCATGCACATGGTGTAGTCGCTGTGTTGAAGATTCTTCACTTCGTCTTGCCGTAAAGCAGAGCCAATTCCTAACTTTTCGGTAAGTGTGTCCTCTTTCCCTGCCGATATTGCATTTATTTGTTATCGTTCATGAAAGCGTTTATTGAAATAGCGACGAGACTGAATTCTACCACGGTTTGTCGGCCTACCTGTTTACCACAGTTTGCACGTGTCGGTTAGCTTAAATGTTTATGATATTAGTTAGTATTATGACGTGTATTAAATGTCGCTTGTAGAGCTATCTTTTCTTTTCTGACTCGCGCTTACTTTTCAATAAGAGTTTGACTTCAACGGCTCTCTGAACATTGCAGGAGTACGTGAGAAATTGGAGTTTGTGTGTGCCTTTGCGCGCAGAGTTGAACGCCATAGTAAGAAAACTGATACCCTTGATCTGTTTTGACATTTTTCAATCAAATCGGAATGCTTTAATTGCTAACACTATTTTTGGCACACCAATAAAAGCATTCCGATATCACTTTGATTTAAAAATGTCAAAACTGATATCCTTGATCTGTTTTGATATTTTTCAATCAAAGTGACATCGGAATGCTTTAATTGCAAATGCTATTTTTGGCACACCAAATAAACGGCAGCGAATAAATACAATATCGGCAGGACACACTTACCAAAGTGTTACGAATTGGCTCTGCTTTGCGGCAAGGCGAAGTGAAGACTCTCCAACACAGCGACTACACCATGTGCATGATGGTTTTGCGCCAATCTTTGTTCTACACTGCTTGTGTGCTGTGTGCTGAATGCTAAGCTATTCATCGGTTTTCACATAGTGCATTTCACAATTTCATGTTTCAACTCGACATAGGCGACTAGACTGTTATCATTTGGTTAAACTATTCATATTTAGGGTGTTCTGTTTTACGAAGGAAGACTAAACCGTCTATAATTTGGCCATGCCATTCCTTTATTAGCTATGCTATGCTGCGGCTGATCCTTGGACCAGCTTTGTATTTGCTGACCCATTTGACATCCTTGTATTTTTGGTGGTGACGGCCACCCATACACTTGCTCTTTAATTTTAATAACAAATAAGTCTAGTGGAGCTAATCAGGCCACAAAATAAAATCAATGTCACCGAAGCGAATTGTTTGAAGATCTTTGAAATCGATTGAAGATCGATCGGTATTTCGAATTTTTGATTTCGGCTATATTTCCACAACTGCGTTTCGTAATGTTCAAGAAAAGAAATAGAAAATGTTGTTACATTGATTTCGAGAATAACCCGTCAGTTACATTTACACAAAACTTTGTTTCTATTTCTCTTTTCATTAAACAACTTCTTTTGCGAATGAGAGTTTCATTCCAGCTTCCGCGAGTTATCTAATCGGTAGGGAGTCAACGCTCGACGGGAAAGGGGGCAAGCCAATCAGATTGCCTGTGTTTTACGATAGTTTAGTGAGCATTTAACTAATTTAAAAGGTATAGAGCGCCAATGATCCCTGAAGACCGCAAATATCTTGAGTCATCCGCCTACGCCTGTCGGATCGTTTTTGCGAACGTGACATTTAAGAAAACGCCCGAACACTGCTATTTTTAACTTAAACTTTGCCTCAGTTACTCGACTGGAGCGAGGTCTCCTGTCAAACCCAGTTTCTGAAAGTATCTTGCTCGGCATACGTGCTCAAACTCCCTTGCTTCCCTCTGTCCGAGGGTTTCTGTAAGTCGTGAATATAGCATACACAATATGTGAGCAATATGAATGAAATTTCATGAAAATTTAGTCTAACTAAAATTGTTAAAGATTTGCTTTTCAAGTTGGCCTAAATCAATTCAGGCTCAACTCCGTCCAATTTTCCCTATATACATCCTGTCATAGTTTTCCTCGGCTGTTGTCTATTTAATATTACCATCTTTTAAATTCCTTATTTTAGGATTGTAAATTATCAGTTCATATTCCCTTTGACCTGCATTTGACAGGTAGTTGAAGAAATAGCGTAATTACTCGATGAAACGCAGCGGTGTTAATCAATAGTTTAGCGTTTTGATGCGGCCTCTACTCAAAATACGTTTTCATTTCTTAGACCATGAAAAATATCTCTATAATTTACTCGTTAATCATGACCATGCCGCACTACAAAAACATGGTTAAAGTTGCAGTATCCTACTCTTTATTTTATTGAAATGAAATACACTTATTTATGCACTTGGGTCAGATGCAAAGTAATTTCCTCGTTACGTTTCATGAGTAATACGTACGGCACATGAGACGAAGTTCTGCTTGCTGTCACAGTGAAATACCGGAAGACGAGGGCGATTAAGAGAGACTTCCTAATTCCCCTTCTTCTCTCCACCTGGGAATCTCCACGCAATTTTTGAAACATTGTATTGTTTAGCTGGCCATACAGTTTGGTAAAACAAGTTGCATCAGAATTAAAGAAACTTATTTGAATCATGATTATTAACAGGAATGACAGCTATCAATGGGTCCACTTACCCCCCGACCATCTATACACGGTTTATTGCAAAGTGCGACAAGAGTGGTTACAAAATGCGATAGCTTTCGGCGTGATGGTCGCAGTGTGCGACAGTTTTTTTTTCTTATAAAGTGCGATAAGTGTTTACAAAGGGAAAATGTTATTACAGAGAGCGACAGAAAATATCTTGAAGTGAGGCCAAGACTTACGGCAAGCCGGCCGCTTTCAATTAAAACAGTATCGAATGACCACAAGAGAACACGAGTGATCGTGATATGTCTGGAGACTTTAGTACTGTCTTTGTTTCTATACACGCTATAAAGATAACGGGCTCGTATTTATGATAGAAATAACTCATTACTTCGAACTCAGAACGGTCACCAGTTAGCGATCGGGTTAAGATATATAATATAAGATATATAAGCGGGTTAAGATATATAAACACGGTAAGCTTTTTAGCCATCTTTCAAAAACCGTTAGAACAGACATTGCCACAGGGGTCGTCGCTGTGTCCGCTTTGTATGACATAGCGGAGTGATATGAATTCAGGTGTAACAGCATGATTTGTTCTCAATCTATCGCAGAAGTTGAAGTTAAGAACTTTTTGAGTCTTATCTCTCAAGGTACATGTGAGTGCCTTAGTCTTACTGCCTCCTAGGCATGAGTCGTTAAAAGCGTTCAATGACTCTGATTAACAAGTGTTACATAATTTGGTGGCGTCATTTCCTCTCAAGGACGTCACGCAGACTACTTAACTAAGTAGTGTAAATGAGTCTCCTGTATTATTTATAGTCACATCTTTTTCTTGAGTTATTAACGGAGAAAGGACCCATTTAACTTAAGCTCTTTATTGGAATTCGTAGGATTGGCCACCTTTCTGATGTGTTGAAAGTAACTCAAGACACAAGGGAACGATTTAAGGGCCATAGAAGCTGCAAATGCTCCATAATAATCCTTTGTTAGAGTTCGTAGCTACGGACGCTGCGGTGAAACCATCCTAGTGTGACCTATGACGGGAGGAATATTTCATTCCCTCTAAAGACGGAGCGAAGAATGCTTGGAAACAATTCCTCAACGATTTTGCATCGACCTGGTTCAGACAGCAATGAGACAAAGTGTGCTGCTTTCACGGTTGGACTAGTTGAAGTTTATATCACAATCCATTTTGTCACTATTCTGGTGTCCTTGGTGGGAAACATTCTTCTGATTATTTCCTATGTGAGAATGAAGGAAACGTTAATGCTCCCTATCGCCAACATGGCTGTATCTGACCTGCTGACTACACTTTTTCTAATGCCTCGTCTTCTTAGACGAGAGCTCACCGGATCCAACGATTTCCTCATTCGTGGAGTTACAGGTACATTACTGTGCAAACTATGCTCCTTCCTAAGCGACATATCGCTATCTGTGTCGACCCAGAGCTTAGTACTCATAGCTGCTGAGCGATTTCTCGCGATTGCTTGTCCAATTTTATATAGGAAGGTAATGACGGTGAAAAGACGCTATCTCTTCGTAGGCTTAACATGGATAATATCCATGGGAATTCATTCGCCATACTTTTACGCTTTCCGTCTGTCTACTAATAATATTTGTGAAATGAACTGGGAACCAGCTTTCGATCATAAGTCGACGCAGCCACGCTACGTGCTTTTTCTTTTCGTAACAGTTTTGCTTCTACCGTTAATTACTATCTCTGTGCTTTACTGCATTTTCGGCGTCAAGATTCGGCGAGATAAAGTAGCTTCGTCTCGAACCGAGAGAGGGACCTTGAGACACCAGGAACGCAGCAGAAAGTTACAAAGAATGGGAATAGCTACTGTAACGGCGTTCTTAATCTGTTGGCTCCTTTATATAGTGATAAATGTTTTCAAAGAGCTTTCTTCAAATACTGATCATGAGTGTAGCCAAGGTTTTAAGATAGTAGACAATATATCTCGCGTTTTAGCAAGCTGTTACTCTGCTGTAAATCCCTGTATTTGCTTTATATTTGTGAAAAGCTTTTCTCGTCAACTTTTCGCGTTATGCAGATGAGAAGGTTCACTGAAAGGGATCATAGAGATAGATGTTTGCAGGAAATAATACCTATTGTGTTCAATTTTGATCAGCACGCTGGGGAGCCATCACTCCGAAGTCATAGCCGTTTTGGCAAGGACGTTGAATTGGTTTTTAGCCACAAGTGAGCTCCATAACCATTAGCCAAGCAGTCTACTGACTGAGTTTCAACAACATTTTATTTTTAACGATGACTACGGTCTGAAGCCTTATGGAGTGTTATAAGTATTTGTATGTAAAGGAACTTTATTCAGTTAAACACTTACAGATCAAAATAGTGCCAATATCAGTGATGTAAATTTCGTAATCATATCTTGAATTTATGCCAACATGGATCGCATATCCCTTGATTTAATATATATCGCTCACCGGTGTAGGAAAGTGATGATTGATGGCAATGTTTTGTTAGTTGGTTAGTGTTTTGAGGACGTCGAAATAGTAGTCAGTCTTAAGCACATTAGTACAGAATAAAGAAATTCAAAAAGCTGACAGGTGTACGTGCTAAAGCGTGGCGAACGGATGCAGCTTAATTACAATCATTTCCTGTGACGCACGAATAAGCATCTTTCTGCGAACAAAGGCCACTTTATCTAATTAACCTAATTTCTGGGATAATGTCGTCACATTTAGATAATAAAGCACTGAAAAAATATAGCCAAATACATTACACTAGTCAAGGCGCCTAATTGAAAGTTTATTTTTCCTTCCTTTCTCAAAGAATATTTACCATAACTGTGCTGCTATGCTATCAGTGAATATGTGAAATTTCTTCCTTTGGCGTGACGTCCTCCTCAACGCTGTTTGATTTTTTTTGCCTTCAGGCTATCTCAAATATTGCATTACGTGTCGATTTCATTAAATAGTTGAATTAATTGAATAGTTTGGTGCTGATTCACCTGAAAAACGCCGCGTACCTCTTCTATCTTTAGAGAAAATGAAACTGTGCGTTCATCTACGCAACCGAGTTAATCTCATTTACTGACAACTATTTAGATGCAGAAGACAGTGCCTTGAGCTTCCTTACCGTCAAGGAATGACCTTTTAAAGTTCAGTCAGTGTCTTAACCACGTATCTTTCCACACACGAAATTTACAATATGGGAAATATGTGGTTTTTGTCTTAAAAGCCTTGCGGCTGAACCTAGTCAAACTTTCTACATTCGAACCTGTATTTAGCGGTCACGAATGAATGGTCATTCAGGTCAGGAATGGCGACCGCTAAATACAGGTTAGATAGAATAGGGGTTTGATTAAAAACAAAAAAAGGAAAAAAGCCGTTTAGGATCAATATCAGTGGATCATCAATCAGTTCATGAACAAATACTCGCACCAAAATACTACTAGCATTAATTTTTCGGGAAAAAAAGACGGATTTAATTTTAATTGAAACTTGTTCTTAGTTTCATTTGATTGGTTCCGCTTTAACTGAACGTTCAGTACAGGTAGAAGAAAATACAAAGGGGCCGTTGGTACTCACTCATAGGTGACTAAGACCGCTTGATAAAAATTACCGCTGAATAGAAGTAAAAATTACAGTTGTTAAGTGGAAACAAATTCGGCACTGACAAGCGACCGCTTAATACTGCAGGGTGACCGCTTTATACAGGTTTGATTTTGTAAAACATCTCCGTCCCCTATCCTCCCTTTACGTCCGGGCCGAGCCGCCTCGCCTGCCAGGTCTACCATTTGTATTTACTAAAGAACGCGTGCAAAATGTTCATTTACCAGAAGGATTATTTAACCATTTAACTTATATTAGTGACCAAGACAGAATTTCCCCTTACAATAACAATACAATATCTACAAGATAAGTGATGAGAATAAAGAAAAATATCCGTTTTAGGGATAATTGGTTGATCCAATACTAACTTCTCTGGACTAACATTATAAGAATTGTATGGTTGACAATAAGGAGAATTACAAATTTGATCTGGGAGTTAAAGGGTTAATTTGTCACCATAAAATTGCTCAGAGGGTCGATTTGCATATGTTGAAACTGAAAACGCTTCCTGAGTGCCAGATCGAACCATAGCAAACTATGGCTCACGAAAAACTGCTCCGATCGGAATGGAAAAGTCATTCTAAGAGTCTAAAATTATTTTGAGATGATAGCATTTGTTTTGTCGATGGTGAAGTAATGGGATAGGTCTCTTTTTAGATAACACTTGCGAGCTCCACATACTACATGTCAAAAAAGGGCCTTGCGGCGATCGCTAAAGGATCGTTCTCTCGGTAGAAAAGAGCATTTACGCTCCCTTTATTTACGTCTTGAAACAACATTCATTTTGTTTTTAAAGTATGGGTGAAATTTCTTTGGCATTGTTGTTATTATAGCCGAATATCTTAATTTTGAGCGTGTTGACATCTGCACCAGCGATGTTGAAGCTCTATAGTTTGAATTATCTGAACCGAAAAGTAGAAAGATCCTTTTTGGGCTGTTTACCGACGGCCGCCAAATCTAGATGCCACAGCAAAGTCTGGAAGAAATGTTAAATCGGCGAACAAACGAAATATCGAAACAGTCCTTCTCAGAGATTTTAATCGTGACTACATCTCACCGAATGCGGCAACAAAACATTTCCAGCGTATTCGAACCTCTTCAATTTGAAGCAGCTGATTATCGAACCCACCACGATTACTCATCACTCCAGAACTTTTATCGATTTAAATCTTTACTTCAAAGGCTGATATTTATGTACCTGGAGTATGTTTCTCCGATCACTTGGCTATTTATGGAACTAGGAAACTTCACAGAATCCCTCTCCGACCACCAAGAATGGTAGAGATCAGGAATTATAAACATTATGATGCCGCTTTGTTTTGTGAGGCTTTAAATAACATCCTCGTGGACCTTGAAAAAAATCCTTATGAGGAGTGGCTTTCTTTCAAGGATCTATTCCTGACAGCAGCGGACAAACACGCACCAATGATTAAGCGCCGTGTTCGCGGAAGATCAGCCTGCAGAGCAAGCGTAATTTTGGCGAGCGAGTGCTCAGTATTTTCTTAACGAAAATTATGTCCGCCACCTTTGATTTTAATGGCAGCGGAAGGCTGGGAGGAGAAAGAAATTTCTACCAAGGGGGCGGTCGACGGTCAATTAAAAGGGATGGGGTGGGGTAGGGGAGTGTAGATTACGCGTTCTCTCGCCCCTCCCTCCCCCCACCCCCTCTGTCCACTCTAACTCCCAATCAAACATGGCCTGTCGGATAAACGATCGCGTTTTTATAACGTTAGCTCGCCCTTATAAGACGCCTGCATTGCGGGTTAACAGAAGATCGGTGTCTTGATTGTTGGTTGACGCCTGAGACTAAATTAAAGACTTCATGCATAAGTGCGATTATGAACATAAGAAAGTCATATCAACAAACAGTGGGCTATATTGGAGTAATAACAAAAAATTACGCAAAGCTCTCATCGCGAAAATGCGTAAAAAAATGTAATAATTATTCCACAAAGCTCCCAAGTGACAAGAACCTCAAAGAGATGAGACAGACACTAAATAATATCTTGCCCAAAGAAAATAAACGCGCATCGGGTGGTGACTCATCAAATCTGTCAGCGACAAAGTTCAACGAGTTTTTTTGCATCAATCGCATGGAATTTATGCAATGTCTTAAAAGACCGAGCCTTTTCTCAAATTTTAGTTCCCAGAGTTAACAAGGACTTTACTGTTGCAGTCAGTTTTGAAAGCTATGAGCTGTCAAAATTAGAACTATCGAAAGCTACTGGGCTCGACAAAATCCCTGCAAAACTGCTCCAAGACGCAGCGGCTCCGTTATAGCCAAGGCAGTATATAGCTTATCTTATAAACCTCACGATCTCGACAGGTGAAATTCCGTCACAGTGGAAGGAAGATAAAATAACTCCAATTTATAATACTGGGAGAAAAGATGATAAGAACAACTATCATTCAATTTCAGTTCTCCCCTTGATTTCTAAAGTGATGGAATTTGCAATTCAAGCTCAACTTTTGGCCTTTCTTAACGAAAACAAAGTTCTATCAGTTTTTTAATCCCTTTTCCGTAAGAAGCATTCCACTGAAACTGCAGTTGTCCACCTGGTTGATCATATATTAGATTACATAGACAGTTAACAGGTAACCGGTGCTGCCCTTGTCGATCTGAAAAAGGCCTTTGAACTTGTTGATCACCACTGCCTCCTTCACAAGCTAGAGCACCATGGAGTTAGAGGATACAGTCTTACCTGGTTCAGAAATTATGTCACTACTCGTTCGCAGACAGTTCAATATGGAGAGGTGTTATCATCCAGTCTTCCTCTACTGCTTCGGTGTTCCCAAAGGTTCCTTACTGAGATCATTTGTGACATACATAAATGACCTGCCTCAATGTTTGCTGCACTCGGCGATAAGTATGTATGCCGATGGCTCAGTGATCCATTATACTGGGTCCAATATTAACATCATTAGAGAAAATCTACAAGAAGACCTCAAACGAGTCAAGCAGTGGTTGATGAGTAGCAGATTAATACTGAATCAGAGCAAAACGAAAGGAAACTACTGCAAACCTCATCAGACTTTGTGCTGCAGATCTAAGGTTCAATTATCTTGGGGTTATGCTCGATGAACAGCTTCTGGAGAGAGCATACCGACTCCCTTTGTAACAAAGTCAATAAGTGTTTGGGACTTTTAGCACGGATAAGATCTTGCCGTACTCTTAAAGCAGCGAAGTGTGTCTGCAATACCCTTATTGAGCCAATCCTGTGTTATACCGAAACTGTATGGGGTGAACTGTCAGCCACCTCCAGCAAAACCCTTCAACGTTTTAAGGCGTGACTCCTCTTAAGACACTTTTAGTGTTTTAGGGTGGGCTGAGTAGGAAATGAAACAGAAAAGACACAAATGTGCTTTAGTTTATAAATGCTTAAATAAGCAAGTACCTCAGTATCTATGTAAGTATTTTATTAGAAACTATAATGCACGTAGCTATGACACTCTCAGAAGAACCGATTTGCACCTGCCCAAACCGAAGTTAAGTCTTAGCAAACGAACTTTTAAGTGTTCGGACTCAGCCCTTTTTCATTTGTTGCCTTGTTACATTCAAAACGCGGAACCACTTTCTTTCTTCATATTTTTACTGAATACTAACGATATTTAACATTTTGTTTTTTTAAATTATTACATTTTGTATTTTTAAACTAATATTTATTATATTTTTGAATAAATATTTACTGTATTTTTAAAAAATTATACTCTTTATTCCAAGTTCCCCCTGGATACCAGCCTTACGGCTAATTGGGCCACCCAGGTAAAATAAAGTACCCTAAATAAAAAGATATGTGCCATTTCCTATGAACGCCGGAAGATATCAAGGCTGCTGGCCCTTAAAAGGCGTGAAAACGGCAGCTCTCTGTCAATTTGTACTTAACTGTGGGATTTAATTATCCAGTTTGCTGGGATATTAGATCATGAAAAGCATTAAACCACAAGAAACCACCGTACCCGCAAACATTGCTCCAGGCCTTGACACTACTACCCTTTGCATGACAAAGCAATCTGATAGTATTAATTCTTTGTTCTCAGTCTATTTTTAAAACGAAGGCTCAAAGCTGTTCAGTTCAGATCAGTTAACAATGTCTATTAATTGATCGCTTCCAAGTTTGACAGAAATTGAGAGCGCTATGACGTAATTTTGTGGTGTGCCCAATCACTTGTGTTTCTTCATGAGTGACGAACGGTGTATTCAAATCTGCGAAATAGGTGCGTTGTTATGTTGATTGTGGTTGAAACTGTCTTTACAATCAGACACAGACAAAGCAGCTGCTGAGTTTTACCTTCTTGAACGGAAGCTTTTGAAAGGCATGGTTACTTCCCTGCTGGGGCTACAGCGGCTGAATGAAAAAATTCAGCTCAATTTATAACTGAAGACCCTGATTGCGCAGCGTGGTGTCTTTGAGTCTTTCTAGAAAGTGAAAGCGTCCAACTGTGACCTGTTAACGGGAGAAACCTATTTTATCCCGGCCCTAAAGACAAAACAAACAGCTTGTCACGATGATTTCTTCAAACGCAAACAACATATCCGTGGTTTTGGACCATGCTGGTTCGGACAGAAATGATACTTCTACGCCAACAAAATGTGCCGCTTTCACTGTTGGACCCATGGAAATTTATGTCACAATACATGTTCTCACTCTTTTAGTGTCCTTGGTGGGAAACATTCTTATCATTGCTGCTTATGTGAGAATGAAGGAAAATATTTTGCTCCCTATCGCCAACATGGCTGCATCTGATCTGCTGACTGCACTCTTTCTAATGCCTCGCCTTTTAACAAGAGAGTTCACTCGATCCAACGTTTTCCTCGTTCGAGGAGGTACAGGTACATTTCTGTGCAAGATGTGTACTTTTCTAAGCGACGTATCGTTGTCTGTGTCGACCCAGAGCGTATTGCTTATAGCCACTGAACGATTCCTTGCTATTGTTTATCCACTTCTGTATAAGAAGGTGTTCACGGTGAAAAGACGCTATCTCTTCGTCGCTTTAACATGGATAGCTTCCATGGCGATTCATTCGCCATACTTTTACATTTTCCGTCTGTCTGCCGATAACACGTGTCAACCCAACTGGGAACCAGCTTTTGATCATGAGTCGACGCAGCCACGCTACCTGATCTTTCTATTCATAACAGTTTTGTTTTTACCGCTGCTTTCTATTTCTGTGCTTTATGGTATTATCCATGTTAAACTTCAGAGAGATAAATTGGCTTCGTCTCGAACTGAGAGAGGGGCTGTAAGACATCAAGAACGCAGCAGGAAGTTACAAAGGATGGGAATAGCTACTATCATTGCGTTCTTACTTTGCTGGACGCTTTATATTGGAATAAGTGTTTTCAAACTATTTTCCCCAAATGCTCAACAGAATTGTAATATAGGTTTCAGGATGGTTGATCATATTTCTCGAGTTTTGGTAAGCTGCTATCCTGCGGTAAATGCGAGCATTTGCTTCATTTTCGTACAGGGCTTTACTCAGCAGCTTATAGGTATGTGTAGACGAAAACGCCAACCATCAGTCACTACTGAAATAGTACAAGATTGGTCTGCGGAGAACAACTGCAGTCGCATACGATCTGAATCAGCGCAAACATTGAGCTCGTTACTGATCACGAGAAACGGGAACAATTGCTCACTCGTTGATTCCCATCTAGTCTAAGACCCATCTTTTCTTTGTCTTAGACTAGTCTAGAATTGATTAATAGAAATGCCCAGTTGAAAACAAGCTAATTTGCATACTTAGATGTGCGACTTTCTGATGAAATTTACATTCTAATTTCATCATGTTATTGTTTTAAGCGATCGAGTGCAAGTCTGGTAAACCGATGTGTTTATGAAGCACTTTTCCCTCGAGATAGTTACTCGCAAATGGTTAAGTATGCAATTTTTTATCAACTTAATGAGTTTTGGAAATAAAATATTCACGAAATGGAATTTTTCGAAACTTGTTTCGTCGATCTTGCGGTCGCTTCTCGTGACTTGGGTGAACGTGTCGAGTATCATTTGGCACGCAAACCTTAGATTAGGGCACTTCAGTTGCTCATAGCAACGCTACCTACCCGTACGTGAATTTCATTCAATCATTAACATGAACAGTGTCTTAAGAAGAACGTTAATGAAAATAAATCGGCCTATGTAGATCAGTACTGGACGAGGAATCAATGATGCAAATACCAGCTGCTTTTTTTTTTCCCACCTGCCATTTGTCAATCTACCGTTTTCCATAAAGTATTTCTACATCAGTTTTTCTCCACTCATCTCTTATTCTCCTTCTTAGAAAAAAAATAACTCCCAATCCCAAAATCAAAATATTCTACTAAAAAGAAGCTGCAGCCTACTGGTGCTCTTAGGGAGAATGTGACACGTGGTACAGATCCAAGGGATCTGTAAACTATCTATTCTTTACCTCTACTTGTGAATCATTTACCCAATCCAATTAAATAATCGTGGTGATGAACCCTTCCTAGATTTTTTTTGAAGGTCCGTTTTTTGTTACCATCCCTCTGGGGAGGAGTAGTGGATAGAGTAGACTCGATCTGGCCTGCCTAACCCGTTCGGTTTCTCTGATGCACGTACTGCAAACATGTATACCTGATTTAGGTGTTCTGTGTTAATCATATGATTTGATAACATGAGGCTTCTGTTAAATGTTGGCAGGTCAAGTTTGCGAGCGTATCCAGTGTCTTGCCTAAGAACACAACACAGTAAATAGACAAGGGCCCAGACCTCGGCCATTCGATCCGAGATTTAACTGGTGAATGCTTATAGACTTCTTTCAAAAATGCCGAGCCTAATTTCTATACTTTCACTTCACTGCAAGTGATTTTCAAGCATCTTTGCGTCTTCTCTCTACATCCTACCTGGTTTCATCATGTTGTAAAATCCAGGAAACGATTTTAGTGCTTTATTGATAAAAAAGAAAATTTACATCTAAAATGACATGACTCTTAGCAAGCCGAGAGGTGTCCCATGCAAATTACTGTGATATGTTTTCACTTCAAATAATATGCGTGGGCAGCTTTTTCCTATATCGTCGCATTTTACCCCCATTTGTATCGCGTTGATGGTTCCGTTTGCACATTGCACTCAATTCGCGAGAAAAGACTTTTAGGAACATAAAACAAATACAAGGATTAACAGCGCAGTAAGAGGTTACTAACACCCGAGATATAAAATAAATTATTTGAAACGTTTCGCTGCATTCAGGAACTGACGTAGGTGAAAAAAGCTGCAGAAAAGTAATAACAACAAAGAGCGTCCAACATGTCAAAAACGCTGTTAAAGTAGCTGTGACCATCTTTTTTAAATTATTGTTACGTTCATATTTTCTGCGAGCTCTATTTTCACTCAGACCTGTCACCATTTTGTCAACCCTCCGAAGCTTAATCATCGTCGTAAGGCACAAGATTGCCACCACAAGGAGGGGTATAAATACAACTGTAACGTATAAAAAGGTGACATAGTGTAATTGAGCTGATCCATTGCTAAAGGCGGGTTCCCAGCTTGGCACACAAAACAAGGTTCCTGTGCCATTTTGTTTTTTATGTGTAATCAGTCGAAAAATGTAGAAATAGGGCGAGTGCAATGCCATGGCCAGGATCCACGTGACGGCAATGAGCACATAGCGAGTTCTCACGGTGACTTTCCTGTACAAGAAAGGATACACTACAGCCAAGAAGCGCTCCGCGGCGATCAATATCAAGTTCTGTGTTGATACCGACAGAGACACGTCACTCAAGAAAGTGGACATCTTACAGAGAAGTAGTCCTCCTAATCCGTGAACAAGGAAGGCGTTGGATCTGGTGATTTCTCTTGTTATCAAGCGAGGGATCAGAAAAACTCCGACAAATAGATCAGAGGCCGCCATGTTGGCAATAAAGACAGCGATCTTTTGTTTCATTCTTGCGAACGCAAGTATAAGAAGTGTGTTTCCTGCTAGAGCAATTAACAACGTAGAAACATGTATTAAAACCATTGTTACTTGTATCGGACTCATGTTTACTCCAAGTTTTTCGCAATTTTCTTGTGGAGAAGTTGTGGTGTTGTGGAAACCTCCAACGTCCAAATTATCAGAGGAAACATTTACTCCGAGAGCCATTGTGCCGCTGTTTGTTTAAGAACACTGCCTCCTCTTTCGATCTTTTGTTCAATTAGTCTTAGCGCCGTCTTGGGCCCGGTTATTATAGACTCGAACAATGAATTGATTTAAATTGAAAAATTATTCAGCCCAGCATATCTCCCAAGCAAATTAATTCGAGAAATCATCGAGATTTCTGTAGAAATTCTGTATTTATAGTTATACAAAAAGCCTATGCTATCGATATGGTCCAAGTACTTTTAAATTCTAAAGTAAAAACTTCATTTGTCTCGGAAATACAGCATTAGAAAGTTACAATACAATTTGATAGTCAAAATATCGATTACGAATTGATAATATCTGAATTGTTGATACAATTTTCAAATTCACAGGTTTGTTTGACCGAAATAATGATCTACCTGGAAAGGATTCATCAACAATACCATTACACTTGAGAAAGACCCCTATTGATTTTCATGTTTGTTTTGTCATTTCATGTTTGTTTTGAAGGGAATCTCCAGAGGACATACTTGCCAGAATTTAGAACAAAGTCTAATTTCAAGCGATCTCTCTTGGATGAAATTGATCTTCGTAAAAACTATTTATAATTTAAATGCAAAGCCTCATATCCTCGCCTGATGCGTGACTCATCAAATAAATCGGCGAGCCTTACTTGCGCCCGAGCTCTGAGAGGAGTTAAACTCCTCACGAAGCAATTATAATACTTTGCTGATGCTCTCTGTATCCATAGTTGCGGTTGATGTGAAATAATTACATAATTGTGAAAGAAACCTGTCACCCAGTGCACCAGCATGTTGCACAAGGA